AAAAATAAAATAAGAAAAACTACAAACTGGACTTAGTGGCACAAAGCTGTAATCCCAGAATCTGGGACATAAGGCAGGAAGACTGAGTTTGAGGACAGCCTGAACTGCATAGCAAGACCCAGTCTCAATATTACAAAATTTATAATAGGATTGGGGATGCAGCTCAGTGGTAAATTGTTCGCTTAGCCTTATGAGGCCCTGGGTTTGATCCCCAGCACCACAAAATAAAAAAAATAATCAAACTCTGGCATGCTGGCACATACCTGAATGGGAGGAGGATCGCTGTGAGTTCAAGGCCAGCGTGCACTACACGTGAGTTCAAGAAGAGCCTAGACTACATGGAGAGACCTGGTCCTAAAATAAAACAGCCAGCTGTGGTGGTGTACCCTTGCAATCCCAGCACTGAGGCAAGAGATTGCCACAAGTTCTAGACCAGCCTGGGCTAAGTAGTAAGACTCTGTTTCTTTTTTTCTTCTTCTTCATGAGAATATATTTATTGAGGGAAAGAAAGCACCTGTCCAAGAGAGGGACAGCCTCCCCACCGCAGCAGGTGGCCCCCAGACATTGTTTCAAAAAAACAAAACAAAACACAACAGATTACCAAACTCAAACTGAGGGACATTCAACCAATGATAAAAACTAGGCTGGACTCCTAAAAGATATCAAAATACCACAAAAGGGCTTAGAAAAAAAATAAATTACAGCCATCCACACCCTAACACTTCTCGCCCCTCCACGGCCACCACCCTGGGCAACCTGTCACCTCCTGCATGCGCTCAAGGAGGCTTGGCACTTGGTCCCTGGGTTTCGCCTTCACCGCCCCAGCCCATGCCCGAGGCACCCTGGTGTCTTCCAGGTCAGCTCACATCCGTCTCTCTCAGTCACGGTATGGGCTCCACTCTCATCCGAACCGCATGGCCTCACTGGCTCCTCACATGGTTCCCAGAGCCTCGTGCCAAGCTCTCTACTCGCTGAAGTCCGACTCACTTCCAGGCAGCCAACTTGCTTTCCGCAGCGAGTGCCACTCCTGCTCCAATGTGACCCCCACTTAGCTGTGTGACCCTACTCAAGACTCTCATCAGGGGGGCAGGGAGATGGCTCAGTAGAATAAGCACTTCCCTGGCAAGCACAAGAGCCTGAGTTCAATACCCAGTTACACACACACACACACAAAAAAAAAAAAAAAAAAAAAAGACTCATCAGTATTGCTTGCTGCATTAAAAAAATGAATGAATAAAAACCTTTTTGAGACAGGCTCTGGCTATGTATTTCCAGCTGGCTTTGAACTCACAGAGATCCTCTTGTGTCAGCCTCCTGCGTGCCCAGATTGCAGGCCTATGTCACCATGCCCAGCTAAACTGATTAACTGTTCTGTGCGTTAGTTTTCCAATCTGTAACATAGGGCCCTCCCACACCTGGCTGACATGGGGAACAAAGCACCTAACCACTGTTGGATGATCAGCACATGCCTGGAACACGTTTATTGCCGATACAATGATGCTGAATGCATTTGGAAAAACGCTGGCCCTGTGGGCAGGCAGACTGAGATGGATCTCAGTTTAAGGCAGCTGCACTGGTCCTTGTGGCTTCATCTCTCCCCTCTAAAAGCTAGCGAGGGGGCTGGTGAGATGGCTCAGTGGTCTAAAGCACCTACTTAGTACAAGCTAAACTAAGCAAAAACACAGGAACCGCGGTTCAATCCCGCAGCACCACATGCCAGCCAGCCCCGCCCCCTGGTGGGCTGAGCTGGCCACACCCACACACACCCACACACGCAATAAATAAATATAAAAAAAAAAAGCTAGCGAGCCTGGGCATGGTGGCACACACTTGTAATTCCAGATACTCAAAGGCTGAGGCAGGAAGACCACGAGTTCAGGGCTAGCCAGGGCAACTTAATGAGGCCTGTCTCAAAAGAAAAATAAAAAGCAATAGCCGGGCTGGAGAGATGGCTCAGCTGGAGAGATGGCTCAGTGGTCTAAAGCACCTACTTGGAACAAGTTTGGGAAAGCACAGGGACCGCAGTTCAATCCCCCAGCACCACATGTCAGTCAGCCCCACCCCCTGGTGGGCTGGGGGGGGCAGACAGACACACACACACACACACACACACACACACACACACACAGAAAAAAAAAAGCAATAGGCCTATAGCTCAGGGGTAGAATACTCGCCTACTTGAGGTAGGAGGATCAAAAGCTCAAACCTAACCTGTGGGAGCCAGGAGATAGTAAGGCAGTCTAAGTCCCTGCCTGGCAAGCACAAGGACCCAGGTTCAATTCCCAGTACAGCATGTCTTGGCCACTGAAACCGGGCATGGTGGCGCATACTTGTAATCCCAGCACAGGGGAAGCTGAGACAGGAGTTTCACTACAAGTCTGAGCTGTGTAACAAGACCCTGTACCAAATAAATAAATAAATAAATATTTTAAAAAGAAAAAAGAAACCTAACCTCTGAACCTTAGCCAGACCCTGTCTCAAAGTAAAGAGGAGCCAGGATGCAGCTCAGTGTGAAGACTCTTGGTTCAATCCCCAGTACACAAGAAAGAAAGGTTTTTTTTTTGGTAGAACAGTTTCAATAATTAACACATTGCATACATTCTTCCTAGTGGTTAATTGCTGTACAAGATGCGGACATGACATCCTACTTACAAACACTAAGAGAACAAATCCCTCTATTCATTAAGAGAATGTAACTATATATCTATCCTAACCACTTTGAATACACAGATATAAAATGAACATTCATCTGTATACCCTTTTTGTTAAGTTCCGTTATTTGAATATTATAGGTGTGTAAACTCAGCAAAATATTCTAAAAGAGTCCAGTAGCCCATAATAGTATTGGGTCTTCCACTTGACTGGCAATGTCAGAAATTGTTGACCTGAGTCCCCCACAGCTCAACATAACGGCATGGCTTTACTTCTTATATTTTGTTTTTATACTTTTCTGCTGGATGGTTAAGACCAAGGTAAAGCAGGACTTATGCAACAAGAGTTGTAGCTTTTGGGTCTGATAAGGTCAGTGAAATCCCCTCAGGATTTATCCTGAGATCCTGTACCTCAGATTGTAGAACCTTTGTCAGTGTCAGCCATGTGGATGAGTCACGGCCATTGCTTGGCCAAGAAAAAGTTTTGAAATACTTGAAAGATGAAAGATTGGATGAGGATGGATCTCGGTGGTTGAATACTTGTTCAGAATGTGTCAAGCTCTGGATTCCATCCCTAGTGCCACCAAAACAAACCAGAACAAAACAAAAATAAAACAACAAGGCTAAAAATACAAAAAGAAAAAGAAGCCAGGAAATGTGATGCATGCCTGTAATCCCAGCACTCAGGAGGCTGAGGCAGGAGGATCATTGTGTGTTCAAGACCAGACTGGGCTACAAAGTGAGCTCAAGGCCAGCCTGAAATGGTAGAGTGAGTCCCTGTACTGCACAGTGAGATCCTCTCTCAAAAATAAAAACTATCTCCCTGAAAGCTCAGTGGCTTAAGCACCTGCCCGGCAAGCGCAGAGTTTGATCCCCAGTACCGCAAAAAAAAAAAAAAAAAAAATTTAAAAAATAAAAAGACAGATGTGGTGGTGCATGTCTATCATCCCAGCACTTGGGAGGCTGAGGCAAGAAGACACGAAGACACACACACAAGACACTAGGCTGCAACCCATACCTTCACATGACCCCTGCTATAGTGACGGGAAAAGAGGCCAGAGGCTCAGGGAGCCCAGGGGAGGAGGTGCCGCCCTCCTAGGCTCACTCAAGGGATTCAGGAGTCACCACTCTTCAGGGGCCACCTCTGGGCCCTTGTCTGTGAAATGAAACATTATAAAAGAGACTAGCTAGGCTCAGTGTTAGATGCCTCTAATCCCAGCACTTAGGTGGCTGAGGCAGAAGGATGGCAAGTTTGAACCCAGCCTGGGCAACTTACAGAGCCTCTGTCTTAAAAATAAAAAGGGCTGGGAATGGCGCTCAGTGGTAGAGCTAGTACAAGGCTAGCCTGACTATACAGCAAGACTGTCTTCAGGGGAAAGGAAACGGATGTAGAAGAACTGAAATGTGTCACATGCATGTACAGCTCCCCATGATAATCATTATGTGCTGCAAGCATGCTAATAAACATAAAAATATTTAAAAGATTTTGAGGGGCTGGGGATATAGCTCAGTGGCATAAGTGCCTGCCTGATAATAGCAAGTTCCTGAGTTTGTTCTCTAGTTCCAAAATAAATACATAAAAATTTTAAAAAGATCTTGATTTTGTACAGGGTCTCACTATGCAGCTCAGACCCACAGTGATCCTCCTGTTTTTAGCCTCCTCAGTGCTGCGATTACAGGCATATGCCACTATGCCAGGTCTCGGTGGCTCGTTCAGCACACCCAGGGGCAGGGCAGGCAGGGATAGAACCCCAGTCCCTGCGCTTGGCTAAGCAGGTGCTTAGTCCACTGAGCTATTTCACTGGCCCCTTAATCTTATCTTTAAAAACAGTATACTCTAAAATCATGGTAAGGGGGCCAGAGAGATGGCTCAGTAGAATAAGGGCTTCGCTGGCAAGCGCAAGTGTCTGAGTTCAATTCCTGGTTCCACAAAAAAAAAAAAAAAGAAAAAGAAATAAAATCATGGTAAATAATACAGTAAATCAACTAGCAACAGAGCTTTCATTGAGCAATATCAACTGTATATCTGCTTCTATAGGTTTTTGTTCCTGTGTTTTTTTCTTTTTTGCAGAACTGGGCATTGAACTCAGGCCCTTGCGCTTACCAGGCAAGTACTTATTCTACTGAGCCATCTCCCCAGCCCTTTTCTTTTCTTTTTCTTGTTCAGTACTGAGAATGGAGCCCAGGGCACCATATATGGCAGGCAAGCCCTCTATCATTGAGCTATATTGCCAGGTTTTTTGTTTGTTTGTTTTTTTTGTACCAGGGATCAAACTTAGGACCTTGTGCTTGCCAGGTTTTTAAAAAATATTTATTTATTTATTTTGCAGTACTGGGAATTGAATCCGGGGCCTTCCCACTAAACTGTATCTCTAGACCACTTTTGTATTTTGTTTTGAGACAGGGTTTGGCTAAGCAGGTAAATTGGCCAGGCTGGGCTCAAACATAATCCTCTGGCCTCAGCCTTCTAGAGTGCTGGGACTATAGGCCTGCACCACCATATCCAGCTCTTTTTATTATTTTGAAGACAGGGTCTTACTAAAATCCCTAGGCTGGGGCTGGGGAGATGACTCAGTGGAGTAAGCGCTTCCCTGGCAAGCGCAGGGCCTGAGTTCAATCCCCAAAAAAATAAATAAATAAATAAAATCCCTGGGCTGGGGCCAGCAAGAAAGCTCAATTGTCTAAAGCACCTGCTTAGGCAAGTGTAGGGACCATGGTTCGATCCCTGGCATTACATGCCACGCCAGCCCTGCCCCCAGGTGGGCTAAGCCAGCCATAAATAAATAAATAAATAAATAAATTTAAAAATCCCTAGGCTGGCCTTGAGCTTGGGATCCTCCTGCCTCAGCCTCCCTAGTGAGATTAGAGTCATATGCCACGTGGCTGTGTTATTCTTTTACACCCCTGGTAGCATAGCAGATGTGTTAGTGCCAGCATCACAAAAAGAGTCGCTACACCATGCTGCCATATCGCAGAGGCCAAAATGTCAGTCATTTTTCAGCTCCATTATAATCTTACGGGACCGGGGGCTGGTGAGATGGCTCAGTGGTCTAAAGCACCTACTTAGAACAAACAAGCTTGGCAAAGCACAGGGACCAGGGTTCCGTCCTCCAGCACCACATGCCAGCCAGCCCCGCCCCCTGGTGGGCTGAGCTGGCCACACACACACACACACACACACACACACAAATAAATAAAAAAAATTAAAAAAAAATAATAATCTTATGGGACCACCATTCCTTCACTGATGTTAAAACCATTATGTGGCAGGTGGCATATGCTGCCTCTTCACCTTCTGAAAGATGGACAGGCACAGTTACTTTGCAACCCCATCCAACCCCAGTTAATGGGAATGGGGGACTGGTAAATATCTACTGAAGACCTGTAAAGATTCAGCACTTCCACCTGGCACGGTGGCATAAATTCTGCTACTCAGGGGGCTGAGACAGGAGGGTAGCAGGTTTGGGGCCAGTCTTGGCAATTTATTTATTTTTGATTTATTTATTTATTTTCGTGGAACTGGGGATTGAACTCAGGCCCCTGCGCTTGCCAGGCAAGTGCTTAATGTACTGAGCTATCTCCCCGGACCCAGTCTTGGCAATTTAGCGAGACTCTGTCTTAAAATTTTAAAAGGGTGGGGATAACATTCACTGCTAGAACATCACTGGATTTGATCCTCAATGTTTCTTACCTTTTTTTGATCTTCAGTATTACAAGAAGTTAAAAATGCACCCATCTAGGAACAGTTACTCAACTTCATGGAAGTGGTACCTGATTTCAGAATCTCAAAGCCCATCAAGATTAAAAAAAAAAGGGGGGTGCTGCTGGGGAGATGGCTCAGTGGAATAAGCACTTCCCTGGTAAGTGTAAGGGCAGTTCAATCCCTGGTTGGGGGGGGGGGATAAAAACAAAAGCAGGGCCTAGTGGCGCAGGCCTGTAATCCCAGCATTTTGGGAGGATAAGGCAGGAGGATCACCATGAGTTTGAGGTCAGCCTGGCCTACAAACTGAAGTCAAGGCCAGCCTGGACTACATAGTGAAACCCTGTCTCAGAAAGACAAAACTAAAAATAAAAAAGATAAAAACAAAAACCTACTTCATCCATTATGATCAACATATCTACACACCGCTATGCAGGGTACGGACTTGCCGGGGCAGTCTTGAGAACACATCTAGGGTTGAGACGGCCTGGTCCTGCCCTCACAGATTCCTTCCTTCTAAGACCCATAGAGTGGAGTTGGCAGGGTAGGGAGAAAGGAGCCCTGAGCAGCAAGGATGCGCTCTGCCCAGGTGGTGGTTTCCACAAAGGCGGCTCAGCTGTGGAGAGCTGCGGGGAGAATGGGCCACTCAAGCAAAGAGCCAAGAGCACAGACCCTACCAAAGCAGAGGCATGCTAGGAGGCTTGCTCAGAGAAGGTGGGGCAGGGACAGATTATCCTGAGAACCTGGTTCTCTGCAGAATGAAGATAACAACCACTGGAAGGTTCAGAGCAAAGGCATCGACCCCCAGGTAGAAGATGATGGCACTTAGGAGGGGCTGAGGGTGAGGGTGAGGTGGAAAATGGGGTCTGATTCTG